CCCTGGAAATGGCTGTGCCAGGCGGTAGGCCTGGGAGATGAGACTGGGGGATCTATCTTTCTCTTGGAGTTGCTCCAGACATGAGCTGGAACCTGGGGGAGCAGCTGTGGGTGAAGTGGGACTTGGCAGATTAAACTGGGTTGGAAATTGGAGTGGGCTTGGGGGTATTTTTGGAAGAGTGCAATTGCATTCTCTGGAACCAGGTGTAGTAGAGAGCCTCTAGAGCTCTAGGCCATCCTTTCTGCACCCCAGGAACACATTTCCTTCTCACATCCCACACACTTAACAACATGGAACATGTGGAGGGATTTTTTTGCCCCTCTCCAGTACAGAGCATAAACTCAGCTTGTGCCAGATTTCCTGAGTCTAAATTTACTTGTCTTTGTGAGCCCAGCTGCTCAGTGTCCTGGGGAGGACTAGCAGATAGGCTGTCTGCACTGAGACCAGGTCCGTGACCTGTTTTAATAGGAGCCTGGAGGGCTCTCTACTTCTGCCCAAAGGAGCATCCCTACATCTGAAGGGAAAGGAGAGGTGGGAGAAGAACCAGAAATGCTCCCACATGCAGCTGGATAGCTGTTTCATGGGGAGTAGATGGGCTGCAAGCTGAGTTTCCAAAGGAAAACATGGTTTATTTCTTTATAAACTTATTTTTAGTGTTTTCTTGCAGGATTTAGCCCTAAAAGGACAAAAAAGTGGTGTGTCTGTAGGTTAGAAAGGGTCCATGGGCTTTTTCAGAGTGGGGCTGGCTGCATAGCACCTAGCCAGAGCTTTGACCAAAGCCAGGCATCAAGGAGGGGAAGGTGACAGGTTCGTTCCCTGGACTGGTGGGATCTGATCGAGGGAGGTGTTTCTCATTCCTGGTAAATCTGCAGGGAACTGATTTGCCTTCCCCAAGCAGATCCCGGGACTGATTTGAAAGTGTGTGTGGGCTACGAAGGAATGAGATCTCAGTCTGTGTGCAGTGAAACGAACCTGGGCCAGCCAGGCTGTGTTACAGGCATGATTTCCACCAGGATGCGAGTTCTTGGTGGGTGAGGAACATGCTTTAGGTCCGGACAAACCTCTGTGTCTCAGTCTACCTTTGTAGCCACCATCCTACCCTCTTGAAGCATCCAGGGAAAGATCTTGACCATGCTTTGGTGTCCTCTTTCTCAGTGCCTGGGAGTTGTTTTCCCATTCTCCTGGGAGGCTGGGCTTGCTGGAAGGAAGGAGGGGGTTGTTTGGGATGTGGCAGCTTATGGGATCCAGGGCTTGTGGAGGCCTCCGAGCCTCCTCTTTGGAGGCGTTTGCAATGGTGTCACCTGCCCAGGAGAGGGAGCCTGGAGCTCACACTTGGGTGCTCCCCACCCCAGGAGGCAGCAGCCCAGGTATGCGGTGCCCTTAGATGTGGTCTGGGGCTCAGACTCTCCCTGCTTGGAAGACAGCAGGGGAGCCCTGCCGCTTCCCTCTGTCTGCTCTGGCTTGTCTTCTGGACTCCAGCCCAGTTGCTGTTGTGCAGACGTGAATATTTCCCTAGGGATCTTCTCTGCCAGAGTCTGCCCCACCAAAATCAGCTCTGCCCCCTGCTTTCAGCACATGGATTTATCTGTCCCTGGGTTTTGCCCCTGGGCTTTGTCTGGCAACTGGGCCATGTCCTGGACATCTGATGTCTCCTTTCCCCATGCTTGCGCAGATGCTCCAATCTTTGGCTCCAGACAGGGTTTGAGATCATCTTTGGGAAGCGCCTTGCAGTTGGAACTGATATGGTTTTACCTGGAGATGGCTGTGCTTTGGATTGCACAGATGTAGCTCACTAGATAACACAGGTGAGCTTGCCTTTATTCCACCGATCCTCTTAGCAGCAGCTAAATCTGTTGGCTGCTGTGTTGATTACTGTGCTGGCTCAGTGTCCTTGCCCTTGTAGGACTGTCCCCCAGAGCCCCAAAGGGGATTCTGGGATCCTGAGTTGATGGTATTGCCTGGTGTTCCTCAAGGGAGGAAGGGGTGTGATGCCCTTCGCTGGACAAAGGAAAAAGATACGCAACGTCCCTAGTGAATTTAACAGCTGGGTTTAGGGCTGGCTGCATCTCTGGTGTAAGAATAGCTACAGAAATTAGCCCTGAGGAAGGGGCTGGTCCTTCAGATGAAGCCAGTGCCTAAGGGATAGTATGGTGGAGGGGGAAGGATGGGTGCGCGGGCAGGTCCGGGTGTCCCAAAGCAACGTGACTATCTTGGGCATAGCTCAGCTCCCATCAATGGAGTGCAGGAATTGTTCTGCTGCATAAAATCATTGCCCTGGTGTGCTGTGGCTTGATATGCTTTTTCCAATTGTCAGTGGGGAAACTGAGGCACAGAGCAGTGAAGTGACTGGGACAGTGAGTTGAGTCCTTGTCTCCTGGGTCCTAAGAACAGTGAACTGAACGCAGGATTCCAGCTTCCTAGTCCCCTGCTCTGGCCTCAGGGCTCTCTCCTAGTCCCCTGGGTGGTGAAGGCTCAGAAGCAGGAAAAAAAAAAAAAAAAAACCCCAAACCAAAAAACATATGGCAGGGAGGGAAAACAGCTAGAAACTCTCTTCTTGCAGGACTGGGCTGCTGTTGAGCCCCTGCCCTTTCCAGCCTGGGCACAAGCACACATCTCTGGACCACCCTCTCCTCCAGTTCCCCCAGGCTGAATGCTCAGGGCTCCCAAACCCTCCCTTTCCATTGAGGTTTTGTTCTGGCAACACTAGCTCTGTGTTTCTCCTTTCCCCCCTTGCTCACAGAGCCTCAGCCCCACCCTGCCTTACAAGGACACCAGGCTGTTCAGAGCAGTCATTCATCTTCTGGGCCTCACGCACCTTTGGTGTCGTGCAGCCTTGCACAAACACAGCATTGTTCCTCCAGCTAGAAGGGCTCTCGTGAAGGGCTCTGCTGGGTCCTGCCTCCAGGGGAAGCTCTGCACTAGAGTGCAGTCTTCCCCTGACCTGGGAACGGCTTGTACGACTGGGAGCTCCCTCACAGCTCCCCCCTTTCCCATCCCTGCCAGTATGAGAAACCAGGTTTAACAGATGGGAACTCTTTCTGCTGGGCTGGACTGTCCTCTCCTCCTCTGCCCCCATACCCTTTGAGCTCACCCTGAAAAGTGTAGTGTTTCTCTCAGGTGGGCAGCAAACAGCAGAGCAGAGATGGTCCCCATCTCAGGTCCTCTAGCACCCCTGGGGGCCTTGCCTGTTTTGGATCTCCCCGGTAAGTCCCTTAGAGGAGGGTGTTCTTGAGCAAGGAGCACCAAGAAAACCCCTGTGCTCTGGAAGAGCACCTCTGAAACGCAGGGCTGCATGAAGTGTGGCTCCCCAGGACAGATTTGGATCCCAGGTGCACAGAAGTTACCCTTTGCAGAGGTGCAGGGGGAGTTTAGCAAGGGGAGGCTTTGTGTAGATGAGTACAGTGGTGAGAGTGTGCTGGCCTGTGCAGTAACCCTTTATCTCCTGAAACATGCTTGGGCTGCTCTGTGGTTCAAAGCCACGGGGGAGCCTGGTAGCAGAACAGTGGTGAGCTCCCCAAAGCCTTGGCTGCTGGCTCCACGTCTGCCCCTCCAGCCCTGTGTACTACTTCCTGGGGATGTGGACCAAACAAATTACCTGGGAAGCAATTTCAGCTTCATTTGGGTGCCAGAGTTTAGCCAGAGCCCTCAGCTGAGACCTGCTGGCAACTGGGGAAGGAATTGCTGTTTCAGGTGGGCTGTGGTAAGAAATTTGGAGAAAACCAACAATACAATGCATTCTGTGTGACACTCAGTACTTTATTACAACAGCCATAACCCTGGAGAGCCAGTGTTCTGGTTACATAGACACTATGGTAGTTGTCTATCCTACAGAAATGTGGAAATACTGCGATGCACTCAACAGAAATATGCCAAGAGACTATTAACAACTCCTCCTGTGAACTCAAAATCTGGGAACTGAAGTGGGGCTGCATGGCAGTGGCTGAGGCCAGAGCCCGGCCTCATAAAGGAAGATACTGCAGGGCACTCTCTATGTTAGTTTGTGCAAGAGGGCCACGGAGATGTCTGTGTTGAGGCCAGAACATCCCCCCCACCTTGCTCACAGGGGTACGTGGCATCTACAGAGTTGGCTCTAGTAGCTTGGGTGCAACATGACTGGTGTGCATTGGCTGGTGTCAGCCAGGTAGGCTAAAAGCTGCTATGTAAAGTCAATAAATACAAAGACAAGTCCTGCTTGCTGTAGTTAAATGAGAACCAATATCCCATTTCTAGGACCTAGCACCACTGCGTGTGCAGTCTGGAGTGCCCTTAGGTGAGACAGGCAGAGATGCTCTCTGTTAGAGAGAGATGGCTTATGAAAATAAAAGTTTTGAGGAGTTTTAGCTTTGGTGGCATGGGAAGGAGTGAGGGGCTACCCAAAAGGCAGTAAAAATCAGTTAAATGCTCTGAAGTGGCCAAGGATCCCCCAGTACACCCAGCATGTTTGTCACCAGATATGCAAATCCAGGTGTCGCAGATCCACCTGGCTCGGGTTGTTTACCTGCGTCTCCCCACCAGCTCAGTTTGGAAAGCTCGATGTGGCTTTCGGAGGAAGGCAGCATCAGTGAACACCTCTCACAGGCATGCACAGAGCAGGGCCAGAGCAGAGAGAATGATTTTGTAATACTGGTAAAATGGCTGGCCCGATGGCTTCTGGCTGCTGTGTTAAAAGCTTGTGGAATAATACTTTCCCCTCCTGCCAAGTTTCCTCTAGGTAGATCTCAAAGGCTGTGAATGCAAATCCTCTGGGGAAGCAGACCTAGAGAGGAAGATGGTGGTGTGGGTATCTGAGTGGGAGAGTCTTTAAAATCCTGGGTTGGTTTCTGCTTTTAACTGGTAACAGAGATGTTAACTGGGATGTTGTAAAGACAAACTTAAAAAGAGACAGACAGCCTGGAGTGGATTCTCATCGTTTGTCCCTCGGACATTGGCTTGAGTTCAGGAGAAAGTGCTTTGGCTACAGATGCCAGCTCTTGTGTTTATGCTGTGGGGCTCTGTTTCTCCTAGGAGCATTCTTCAGTGGGCAGGGAACTGAGCTTTGGCCGGGCACCGCTTCTGAAGGCATCTGCTTCGGGTGTCGCTGAGCTGTCACTGTGGCTTCTGGAGGGCAGTATCTTTGTGCTGCCTCCGCTTGGCTTCATCTCACCGTTGGTGTTGCCTGTTCCTCTCGCAAACAGCTTGGAGTTTCTCAAGGTGCTGGCAGAAACTGCCGGGGTGGGGGAAAATGAGAAGGGGGAGGTTAGAAACGTTTCATTCGCATTCGGCTTTACCAAATTGTAGGAATAAAACCACTTACGGTGCTTTGGTCTGGAGTGGATGGTGCTGATGACTGTGGGTATCGGTTGCTCCATGCTGTGAACGCAAGGACAAGGTGTGAGGACACATTAACCCCTGCAATGCCAGAGAGATATAGAGGACTGGAGTTTGGCCCATGTGAGCTGGGCTACATGGATAGAGCCAAGTGTGTGGTTGGATCATGAAGGCTAACTCAACAGCATCTGGGCAAAGCATCATCTAGGGAAGCGCTGGAACCCTTCAGTCTGGGGGGGTCTAAGGAAAACTTCAGAGCAAGAAACAGGGCTGAACTGCATGGGGACTGCTGGGATTTCTTTCTTTGATCAAACTTTCAATACTAGACTCAAAGCTTGGGATATCTGCTTTCTCCCTAGATGTTTGGGTGCATCCCTTCCCCTCTTCAGGCACAAGGAAGCCCAGCTTACCTGCTCTCCTCCCCTTCCATCAGCTTCCTGTAAGTGAGGATTTCCACATCCAGTGCCAGCTTGATGTTCATCAGCTCCTGATACTCTTTCACCAGATGAGCCATATCCTCCTTGCTCTTCTGTAGGGCTTCTTCTAGCTTGACCAGTTTGGCTTTGGCATCCTTGAGGGCCGTCTCACCATGCTCTCCTGCTTCTTTGATATGCTCCTCTAAGTACAGGCACTGGTGTTGCGAAGGAAAAAGGGTGGTGGTGGAGGTGTTAGGTGAGTTGGAGTTTCATACCTGTATGTCAGAGTTTTGTCACCCACCCCAGGACACACCTGGCTCTTTTGGGACACGATGCAGGACCTCAGCTTCTGGATCTGTATGTTCAGGTCTGCGATCTCCCGTCGGCTGTCAAGGAGGTGACCTCCGTAGGTGCCTGACTGGGTGCTTCCTTCATTCAGCTACCGGAGAGATGGAAGAATGGGTTATCTGCATGCCTCCTGCTGTAGCAAAGGAATCTGCGAGAATTCCCACTGCCCTTGGGGAGAAACACCTAACTGGGGAAAAATAGCGGGTGTGTGGAAGGATTTAGGGCTCATTCTCATATCCTCTTCTGGCTGTAGCTGTGCCAGGTATAGAGCACACTGTCTCTTGGGGTTAATCACATTCTTGCTCTGTTTGGAGGAGGCACCAGTAGGAGGTCATTTGCATCTTAGGTGGGACAAGCTGCCATTGATGTCCTTGCCTGTCTCCACTGACAGTATGGAGAGCCTAGAGCAATGAAACTACTAATTTACACACCTGAGTTAGGAGGAGTTGATCTGGGTTAGCATAGCACCCTGTCCCTCCCTCCATTCCCAGGTGTAGTCTGTCCCTCCACATCTTGCTGATTCCTGTAGTTTCTAGGCTGATCTCCCTGCCTCTCCCCAGTATCAATCAGATAAGGAGACAAATACCTTTCTCCTGGTAAGTGCTTCAGCTTCCTCCCAGCTCCGAAGAGCTAGGGCTTCATACTGGGCCCTCACTTCTTCCACAATTTTGCTCAGATCAAGTTTGCATGCATTGTCAATTCCCAGTACAACAGAAATGTCCTTAATTTCTGTCAGCAGCTCCTCGAGTTCCTGAATAGCAAAGAGAGAATAGGGCTGTGATACCAAGTAGTCAACAAAGCTACAAGCCAGGGGAGAGCTGAACTCTGGCAGATCTGCTGTGCTTAGCTAGGCAAAGCATCTTCCATATGCAGCATGGAGATGGTGAGATTTCCTAGGTTTTCAGTCTCTGAAGTTTGGAACCTGGTATTATTTTCTCCATAAAATCCAGACTCAGGCTAGGGTGTTGGTTTGGGACCTTTGGATACAATCTGTTAAGAGTCTGGTAAAATAGTGCATTTGTACTACATCAAGAGCAGGTTAATTGAACTGGCTTCAGTATCTATCGGGATTCAGATGGTGGGTGGTGGGCAAGAAGCAGGGCAGCGTGAATCATTCTGCAAGCTGGTGGTGCTAGAAAGATGCCTTTGCTGAGCTCTGCTTCAGCATCTGGAGAGGCTGTGGCTGCCACTTGTGTTATTATAGTCTGCTTTGTGTCTAGTTAGAGAAGGGAGAAACAGGACCCTTGAACGTATCCATCGCTAGCAGACCTATTGCACTCCCCAGAGCTGCTCTCATATGCTGGGGAAACTCAAGCCAGCGTGGGGAAAGCAGGAACATGCACACACAAGCTGCAGTATCACTGACTGGGATATTTGCCTTTGATAGCTGACTCGGTCACAGCTTTAGAAAAAGGAGACAAACAATGATGAATGCAGACTCCCCTCGGTGAACCTAAACAGGACTCTTAATCCGTGCCTGTAAACTGCACTCCGGGGTGGTTTGTATCGCGGCAAGACATGACTTGATGCTGAGCAGATGGTGCACACGCTCACTTGGCAGCTCCCCCAGCCTCAGACTGCTCTGCGGGGCTGTCGCTCTTATCAGTATCTCTGCAGTTGCTTCTGATTTACACCAGTGTTAAATGAGCAGCATACATCTCTCCCCATCTCTTACCTTTCATCTTGATGTTTTTGTTCTTCCCTTTTGTGCTGAGGGCTGTAATCTCTTTAGAGAAGCATTTGTATACCTTGTCTGCCTTGCCTTCCCCTGACTGGGGAGACAAAGGGCACCCTGACATGGGGATCCATGAATAACAGAAAAATACCCCATCACTCTTCCAAAGAGCAGGATTATCAGTGTATTTTTTCCCACTGGTGTTTAATCCTTGAGCATCTTTGTTAATCTTTAAGCAGGTTAATAGCTATATGAGAAAATGCATATTTATTGCAAATACTTGGGCATCTTCCACCAGGGGGGTGGGGGGGGAAACCAACTGGGTGGTTTATTAATGAGGATTGAGGCTGGGATTTTCTTCTGATTCATACCAACATGCTGTGAGCAAAGCTGTCAAGTAAAGTTTTCCTCGTTTGCCCTTCCACTGAGTATGTGTGCTTATACATCGATGTCAGTCAAATCAACAGGTACAGGCGAGAAAATGACTAACCTGAAAACAAGCTACTGAGAGGAGATGGCAGAGAAAGAGGTGGAAGGTAATTTCTTTGCATGAAGCACGGGTAAAAAAAAAAAAATGCAGCCTTCTGCCAGGACAGCAGCGTGGAACCTGGAGGAAATCAGCTCAAGAAGATCCTCACAGCAGGATCTGATTTGCAGCTACCCCTGTGAATTGTCTTGCACCAGGAATTATCTTACAATTTTAGAGAAAGTAAGGCTTCATGGTTAGTTGCAGGCAGGGCATGTGTTCTAATGCAGTTCTGATATTATGCAGGTCCTTCTGCCTCTCTGTGCCTCAGTTTCCCTACTGTTAACATTCCTCTGTCAAGTATTTTAATTGTTTGTATTGGTAGAATTTAGACAAATCATTAGTATTCCCAAAACACTGCCGAGCCTGCTTGGTGACATTTTACAGGCTCTGAGTAAGTGCTGTAATCGCTTCACCCTGTTTGAGTAGATACAGGCATGCTGCAGCCTTTGGGTTTGTCTGAAGGGCTGCAGACTCTGTATTCTTCCCCCCTTGTGAAATCATACCTGACTGCGCTCTCTCATTTAAGTGGGAATGGAATACGCTGGATTGTGTTAAAGAGCATCCAGCACCTCACCCAGGTTTACCACTGCTTTGTCCTATTTTGTTGTGATCCCTTCCTCTGAATCCGAATAGAATAATGTTCAGCTCACTCGTGACCTGGGGCGTTTGGTCTCAAGGCAGAGGCTGTCAGTGGGGGTGAGGAGCTGAGCCCAAAACCAGCCAGCTCAGGAGTGAGATGGGGGCTCCTGACTGCTAGAGGGGAGATCCGCTGGAGCAGCCTCCCTGCAGTAGCTGTGGGGCAGAAGGGACATCCTGATCAAATTTGAAATGGAGCCAGTTTAGTTAAAGAAAGGGGATTAGCTCATGAGACCCTGCCTTAAGCCATTGAATAGTTGTCTGCAACAGCATGCAGCTCCCCTGGACAAGCTCTTATTTTGGTGTAAATTCAGAACAATGTCCTCTCTTGTAGTGGAACTGTCCACAAAGATGCCTTTTTTTTGCATTTTTACCTGCTCGTAGATGGTTTTCTTCAAATCCATCAGCTCTTGGAGCCCGTTGAGTTTTACCTCCAGCTCAGTTCTGTGCAAGGAGCTCATATCTAAATCCTGCAGGAGGTAGAAAGTGTATTAATGAGCAGTTTGTCTTTGTAGCAAGAAATCTTTCCCACTGCCACCTCTCCCCCAGCAAGTGTCCTGCTGGCTCTTTATTGGCAGGTACTCGTGAAACTGCTCTCCTGCTCTACGAGTAGGGAGGCTCCTTTGTGGACCTTTTTCTTCTGTGAGGTGTTAGGTCATTTGTTTTTTTTTTTTTTTTTTGTGAGCGCTTCAGTGGAAGTCTCAAATGAGGTAGGGTGGAGAAGGAAACAGGCAGGGCTAGTCTATGCCCACTCACCACAAAAAGCACGGGTTATTGAAAACTCTGATGCCATCCACAAAAGTCACCAGAACTGCCCTTACTGGCTGAGTGTGCCAGGGAAAACGTGCAATTAGCCATAATGATCATTTGCGGAGAATGTTTCCTCTGTCTAATAATACCCTTCATTCCTGCACCTTAGATTTTTTTTTTTTTTTTTTAATGTAAAGGCTGTGCACAAAGCCTCCCATTTCAGCTGATATTCAAATACAGCTACTCCTGGGGTGGGATGTTTAAACAAGGTGTGGCCATGTGACAGGAAACAAAAGCAAACACGTTTATCAATTTCCAGCCTTTCCCAACCTATGATGTCATTCCGAGAGAAAACTGCCAGGGAGGAGAGGTGCTGCCTCGGAGGGTCCTGGGTGCAGACCTCTCCAGGCCAGGTCTGGCCAGTGAATTGCAATGTGGTTGGGTGCTGGTGTGTGCTGACCCCCAGGCGCTTCCACCAAGAGCCGCGGGGCTTTTCTGTAACCACAGCTGGCCCAGACTCACTTGTCCTTTTCCTAGTGAAGTGGTGACTATGTTCACCACTCTGCTGTCCTCCTCAAGACCTTATTACCCCACAAAACATCTGTGTTACAAGGGCTTGGTCCAGAGCTAGCTCTTGGCTGGCTCCAGACTGTCTTAGCTGAGCCTGGACCATCTTGCCTCTCCCAGCTCTTGTGTGACTATGCAGAGCTGGTGGAGAGCTCATTCAGAGGAAAAGCTTCTCTTGCCACTGACCTTTTTGAGCTCCATGAAGGTGTATTCCATGCCACTACAGAGGCGAATTTCATCCTCATATCTAAGGAGAGTGAAAAAAGCAGTAAGAAATTACATATGGTGAAAGCCTCTGGGATGCTTAAGGTTGTCTTGCTGGCCCCAAAAAGCACTGGTATCAAAGCTTTCTGCTTTTACTACGATGTCCTACCTCCTTGACATCCTATAGACAGCAAGCAGAGATATCTCTTAGGTGTGGGCATCTTGGTCAAGTGAGAGGATAACAAGCTGCCACATGCCAGCTGCTCTGTAGTAACACCATGAGCACTTTAAGTCTGAAGAGCCCCAGAATAGAGAGGAGGTAGCTTTAATTCTAATTTAATTTGAGGGCTAAGCAACCTCAGGTTACCTCACATTTGCCACAGAAAGAGAGAGTAGGCATGGAGAAGTGGGGTGTGGTGAGTTATTCTCTCTGAAACCCAGTCACATGCCCAAAGACTCCTAAATTTTCTCCCTAAACCTTCCTCTTCTGTTTCTTTCACGTATCCTCAGCATTTAATTTCCAGAGTCTGAGAGTCTTCTCAAGGGAGAAAACTTCAGCTTGTGAAAATTCTGAGAATACTGGACTGGTGTCATAACTTATCCTAAATGTAGTGCAATTTGTGAAGTAATATAGGACCCGGGAAAGCAATTTGAAGAAAATAGTGCCCACAGAGCAGAAGGTAACAAAAACCGGATGGGATAGGGTGGAGATCCTCCTGGTGGAGGAACCAGCCCCGTAGGTGTTTAAAAACAGGTTTGATAAGGCAGGACAAGCATAGCAAAGACTTAGTCCAGGGGCAAATGCATTTCTCGATGGCCAGCAGCAGACACAAGAGGGTAGCTTAGGGAATACACCAACTCTTGTTGGCTCTTGGGACCAGCATGTGGCTAGCCCTGACGTTGCTAAAAACAGGTATCCGACCAGGAAGCCACAGAGTCTCTTTTGGGCCTGGTGTGTGACCGGCAGCGGTTGGTTTGTTTGCCAGGCAGGAGCATTATGCGATGGGTGTTTGGTATTTCCCGCTGTGCTGCTGGACATGCTTTGGGGGTGTTGGCTCTTCTGCTGAGACCAGAGCAGGCTGTGCACTCAGGGAGGTTGTGGCTTCCCTGCTCTTCCATGATACCTCAGGCTCCTCTTAGCCTAATGTGCTCATAGCGTTTCCAGGCTGTGAATTAAACCTTTCAGTGCTACGTATAGATCGTAGAATCATAGAATGCTTTGGGTTGGAAGGGACCCTGAGAGATCATCTAGCCCAACCCCCCTGCAGTGAGCATGTCACCAAACTGGTATGGAGAAGGCCAAGATCTTTGGCAATGAGGTAAAATGGCATCTCCTAACAGAGTGATGATGATAAAATCAGGAATGACGGCCATATTGTGTTGTTTGGTGGTCTGGTGCATCATCACTCTGGTTACACTGGAGAGCCTTCCCTGCTGTTGTACAACCTGCTGTTGCTCCTGCTTTAGGAGAAAGAGGAGCTGTGCCAAGGAGCAGAAGGTATTGGGAAGGCAGCACAGGCGATCACACTGCAGGGCAAGGGGGTAAAGTCATGCTCGGGAGCTGACCTGAAATATCAAAAGCAGCTCCCTGGAGCTGTTGCTCCCTCCACGGAGGGGGTAGTGGGGGCACAGAGGGGATCTGACTGGCACAGGCTCTACAGTTAGGTGCTTCTAAGGTTCCTCTTGGGTACCCTTGTGGTGTTAAACTCGCCCTCTCCTTGCCTGCTTTTATAAGGCCAGGTAGTATAGGTAACGAGATTTACCTGTCTGGCTTCTCTGCTCTTCAGCTGGAATGTTAGCCATGCTGGCAGGAACTATGTACTGAGCTTAATTACAGCCTGCCACTCTTCCTTCATCCTCATTGCATCTCAGCCCAATCCCAGTCTGTCCCAGCCTGCTGAAGCAGCTTCACACATTGCCAGGCGCTGACATAAGCTTACATATTGAACAAACAACACTCCTGACTGAGAGAGAGCAGGCCCAGCCAGCCAAACATGCTCACCGCATGGCTCCGGAGGGACCTGGAGGCCGGGAGATGACTCACATGGGGATGGAGAATTCCACAAACACATTACAGCATTTATCTCCTTAGAGATAATCCTCAAGCAGTCATGCATCAAGGTATAAATCCATCCCATCTCGATTCATGCATTTAAGACACGCTTGAGACAGGCGTCTGGTTGCCTTGGGCTCCTTCCATAGGCAGTGAAGCAAAATCAGAGGTGAACCAAATCTCAGGCAGGCTATGTTCCTCTCTGGATGTGCCTTCAAGACTACTTCAAGGCAAAGATATAGTGGTGGGATGGATCTGAGCCTGGTGGCATGAAATTAAGCTAGTCTTCCTCTTGTGGAGCAAGGAAGTAGCTGAAAACCAACTGCAGAGGCTGAAGGTAGCGGGGTGTTGACTGTCTAGTCTTCAGGTGGCAAGATTTGACTAACAATCCCTGGATCTCAGAAATGGATCCTTTAAAGGCTGTATGCCCCCTATTTTCCTGTGGTATCTCCCCAGTGCCACACCAGAGTAGGTCAGCACAGGCAAAAATTCCCTGCCTTCCCATTCAGATGGGTCTTTGCATGTTCAAATCACACGTGTAGGGAGCTGAAGCAAACGCTTGTGCAGATGTGCACCTCTGGGCAGTCATCCCTATTTGGGTATGTAGTATTTGATTTTTTAAGCTTGACTTCCTAAAAGAGCAGGGTTTGAGATCCTGTGCCAGCCTCCACCCAGCTTTCCTGTCCCCTCTCCATCCTTCTCTGTGTTTGGAATTGCTGGCCAATGGCAGCCTAATCTGAGAAGGAGGTGCAAGTGTCCTAGCTAGTTAAATCTCCTGTATGACTTTTTGGAAAGCGGTCCCTGGATAGAGAAGACGGACAAATTAGGGCCTTACAGAGGGGCACTGACAGGCACATTTCACATGTTAAATGATGTGTTGGGCAGCAGCCTGCTTGGGTGGTCACTGTGTGCGTGGCATGTTCTGTCTGGAGTGCAGCAGCAGGGATGAGAGAATGACCAGTTAAATGTGCCAGTGAAGTTACTAGCTTTTCCTCCCCCCAAAAAACTCCTTTGGGAAAAGAAACCTCCACAGGAGTTGGCCGCCTCCACAATTTGCATGGTTTAGGCAGACCATTTGCTCCAGAAAAACAACTGGGCTGAGGCAGCCTTCTCAAAGGCGTGCAGGACTCAACAGAGCCAGTGTGGGTTAGGACGGGGTTGGATCGCTGCCTGGAGAAGGCTCAGCAGAAGCAGCAGTTCTCTCCCCGTGAATCACTAGCCGCTGGGAGCAGCACGGTGGATTGTCATTGTCACAGAAATCCACCTGCGCTGGCTTTGGGTGTTAACAGCACCCAGTCACAGGGTGGGTTTTGCCTATTTGCTGCTTAGGTCACCCCTTGCAGGGCTTGTGCCTTGCAGCTCACAAATGGGAGAGGGCGGAAGGGGAAGGCTCTGCAAATGAAGGAGAAATGCTTTGAGGAGCAGTGTAATTTCTGAATGCTGTTTTCCTGTGGCTGTGTAGTCCCACAAAGCGGGAACTCTTCTCAAGGCTGACGGTTGGGCTGGTCATAACCTGGTGCCCATTGTGGATTCTTTGCTGTCTAATACTGTGCATGTGCGCATGCTGCATCCTGATCCTCTGTGTATGTTGGGCGGGTCCTGTTCCTCTAGTCAGTCCCTTTTTTTGATTTTGAGGTATGTAGCATCCCTATCATGGCTATCCTAATGTCCAATTAGGTATTAACTGTCCAAGAAAATCAAAAGGTAGGGGTAAACACACAGACAGCCTGTTTGTGTAAGCACCTTTATCCTTAAGAAATCAGGCTGAAGAAAAAAATAAAGTGCCAGGCATAGGCAACTAATGAGGGAATTGCTAAATACAAATATGAGTACAAACTGTGAGAGCCGATATGGGTGACTGATCTGACGATTCTCCACCACCCTAACCATTTTCCTCTTTGGGTTTTCCTGACTGTCAGGGAATAAGCCAAGAACTATCTTTTATAACTGCAGGGCCACAGAGCAGGTATTTCCTCAGGGAAGCACAAGGAAGACCAAGTGCTCCAGAGAGGGATGACAGATCTTAATCTTTTTAGGGCAGGGAGTGAATGGCACAATCCATATTGTGGCTTTGATCCAAGCTCAGGTTTGCTACCTGTCAGCAAAGCAAGCATCAGTGAGCCTAAGTGTTGTAGTGAAACCAACATCCAAATAAAGAACAGACAGACAGCCACCATAAGGAATTTAGGGATTTCTAGGCACCTGGGTATCAGTGCGTCACTTTTTGGAGGATGCTGAACATAAGGATTTCAGCATAAGGTCAAGAACCAAACTCCCAGTTCTGATTCCTGCTCCGCCACCAGCTCACTCTGTGAGCTTGAGTAAGATGTTTAACTGCTGTCTCTCCATTAGTGTGTCTGTGAAGTGGAGGTATCGGTCCTTCCCCTAATTTGCCCCCAGATTGAGTAGCTGGTTTAATCAAAGTCTGCAAAGAGCTTTAAGATCTTTGAGCTAAACTCTCTGGAGAGGGCACTGTTACTACTTATGCATCACTTCGTACATGAGGAACAGGTCTGGGCTATTTCTACAGTGATGTCTGTCAGTGCCAGTGGAAGGGTAGCCCCTTAGCATCACTGTTCTGTTTTGACAGTGCCCATACATGACGCTTTGCTACAACATGGAAGACTCCAGAGATCTTGTGTAGGCAGATGGGTGTAACTGTAAGGGAAAGTATCTAATTGTGGATTCATCTGTGGTATGCAAATGACACTGATAATAAGAAAAGCATTGTCTTCTTGAATGAGCCATGGCACATCTCAAATGCTCTTATCTGAAGATCTCTAAGCTCTTGGCAAAAGCAGCGATAAGCACGTGGCAGCTAGTCCTCCCTTAAACTTTCAGCTGCCTCAATATTTTCTGTCAAGAGGTTTTCTGGGTAAAAGTCTGACTTTTTGGTCATAGCAGAATTTTGCATTAAATGTTGTGGGGTGAAGGGGGAAGGGAAGAGACGATTAATCGAGTTAATACTAAGCGGCATAGATCCATAAAACAGTTTGGGGAGAAAGCTCTGGCTTGTGATAATAGTGTGGGGAATAAATATTTCTCTTTTACTGGCTGTCATTCCTGATAATAACTGTTCTCCAGAGCTGTTATCTGTCCTGAGGCATTTCTCAGATGCCCTGAGCTCTTTGGTATTTCACTTTTTATGGGTTTCCTTTCATCTCTAGTTAATCAGGAAGAGGCTAGGATGCTATCTTCTCAAATACACAATTCTGTGCACACCAAACTAGGAATTTGTTCCTGGGAATAACAGGCTGGCTGTGCTAAATGAATCCCACGCTACTCTTTGTGCACGCAGCTGCACCGATACCTTGCAAACACATTTCCCCCTTGCAATAGCCAGCTAGGCTAGACACCTACTTGCTTCGAAAGTCATCCATGGTGCTCAGGACCTTTGTCAGCTCCGACTCGAGATTTTTCTGCTCGTAGCTGAGCGCCTTCATCTCTTGATTCATTTTGCTCATGTACTGATCATAGATGGCCTTGATGTCTGACTCAGAGTGGGAATTGTCTTGATCCTTCAGGAAGTTCCACCTTGTTGTCAGGATCTTGTTCTGTTGCTCCAAGCACTGGACCTGCAGAAGAGGTTTCAGAGACATTAATAACACCAACAGGAAAGCTGACTGCTCCTGGCAGGGCAGGAGACATTGACCTGGAGACCTTCAGAGTAGTGAGAAGCTGCCAGAATCAGCAGAGATTTCCAGGTAAGAATGTCCTGAAAATTAGGCCTGAGGATGGAGGGTTATAGGGACTTTTAGACATTTTACACATTACCTACTAATTAATTTCTTGACAGAACATGTTCACATCAAAATGAACGAGCATCTTGTATTAAGTCACTGAAAAATAAGAAGTGTTCGATGCCCCTTTGCCTGTGAACATACCGAAGCAAAGGCTGAAAATCCACCACAGGTCATGCATAGATGTCCAGGGTGAATGAAGGTCAGGTTTACTACCTTGGAGTGGCACAAAGACAACTCCTCTCAAATCTATAGGATTACATGATGGTGAAGTTTGAGTAATGAATCAGAGTCCTGGTTTGTATTGCAAAGCAACATAGACAAGGCCTATGGGAACTCTAGAGAATAAGCAAAATAATTACAGACTCCACATGAGGTCTATGTGTGCACGCACCTGTCTGCTTGACAGAGGATACGCTGCATTTTCATCCACCCACCGTTTGATGAATCTGGCACTCTTCTTTCCTAATATTCACGATCAACAGTAATGCTCAGTGTTTAACAGTTTTCATCGTCAAAGCTCTTGGCTAACTTTGATTAATTATCTAATTGCTACCTCTCTTACTGCTCTGTGAACAAAACCGAACTCCTTCAGTCACATTTTGGCTGGTGATTTGTGAGTTGCCTCCAACAGTGTCCTCCACTCTATCATGGAGATGATTCAGTGCTGATACTATGCCCTGTGCGGTGTGAGCAGTGGGGTGCAGATGCTATCAGGGCTTGACCTTCTGCTTGGCCTTCAGCTTTGACTTCAACTTTCTGTGGCCCGAAGCAGCATCGGTGCATTGAAGAGGCGGAGTTCCCAGCTGCTGACCACTGCACAGATGCACATGGTGAGAGACAGCATCTTTCCCAAAATGCTTCTTGTCTGAGCAGAGAGAAGCAGGAGCCCAGAGCAGCCGAGCAAAGCAAAAGCACTGTGATGCTCACAGTCAGTTTTCAGCAGAAGGGATGTGAGCGTTGGCATATTCCAGGTCTCGCTGTTAGAGACCTCATGCTTTCTTCCTGATATCTTAACCCATGGCTGTAGACATCCCATCAGTAGTCCAGTCTGCTGACTGGCTGCTTTGTCCTGGCACAAACCCAGAGTGGCACACGGTGGGTGTGCATGCATGCGTGAGGCTGAGAACCAGAGGATGATGCTGCAGTGCACCCAGAAAGGGGCACTGCAAGTGGCACAAGTAGGTGGCCTCCAGGGCTACCAGGATCCAGTTGGGCCATTTGTTCTCTCGACCTGAGGCTCCTCAGGGATTGTGATAGAGTATCCCTCTGTGGGGCTGGGGTCAACCTGTGGGATTGGCTGTAGGGAGCAGCCTCTCATCCTAAGGCAGCTTCCCCATTTGCTGCTGGGATGTTAAATGACTGAATGCGTTGGCTGTTGTTCTAAGTCCGTCTTTGACCCTCAAATCAAGTCTCAGTTCCTGAACTTGCTCCTAATCCTTAGCTGCTCTTTTTCTCCCTCCCCCAAACTCTTCAGTTTCTTTCCTGTTCCCAAACCATACCCATCCACTGGGCTGAACTGCTTACATCATGGCTTCTTATACAGCATCCCTCTTAGCAGAAATTCTTCCTTGCAAAGTCTTTTAACACAAGCTTTCCAGCAGAAGAGTCACCCAGATCTGGCCTCATTTCCTGGAAAATCATGCCTGAACACAGAAGTGACCAAAGCTTGGTCCTCGGAGGCCTCTACCTCTGTGCTGCTCAGGCTAAAGGTAGGGCTTCAAACGGGGGCTCATGACTTGGCTTTTCCCTGTCTTCCACCTGTACATACCTGGATGGAAAATAAATACTAGCAGATCTGGAACAGCCTGCTAGAAAGCCATCAGTAGCAAACTCCTAAAGTTAGTGTGGTCAATTATCTGAGGAATTAGCTGCTCAGGCTTGAGACCATCTGAATTCCTGATTAAAAAGACAAGTTCTCTTTGACAAGGAAGTCCTTTCCTCTGGAATGAGGACCTGAGGCAGATGGCTGAAGTTTACCACTTGATGTACCGCTTGAAGCTACAGCCTTCAAAGCTAAATGCAGGAGCTGCTAGCACTAAAGTCAAAGCCACCCAACTAAGGTGAGGCGTTTGTATCTTCTGTCCATCAGGCCCTGTAATGCACACTTATCAGCAGGCCACCAGATTGGGTTTATCAGGAAACCCGGAGGTTCTCTCACTTCTTCCATCCCTCTTTGCACGGAACAGGCTAGTGCATGTGGTCTGGCTCACGTACATATTGTCACTGTGTGGTCTTGCCCCATCTCCCCTACCCCCATCCTTTTTGCTGAGGTCTGGTTTCTGAGCAGGACGAACATCCAGACAAACCCTGACCTCTCAATCTGGATAGTCAGAGGACCGGTCCTGCAGCACGTGCAACACAACCCACCTGGGTGATTTCCAAACCAGGGGTTTGCCAAATTCACATTGCCAAGATCTGTGCTTGGAAAAGCAGACGTGGAGGCTGCCGTGCTCCTCCATCCAGGCTCAGCCCCCTGGTACCGCTGCATGCCTGTTTCCACATGTAGGTGTGGTTCGTTCACAGCTATTCAGTTTAGATAGATGCTATGGAAGATGGTTCCCCTGCCCTTCTCCTTCCCAGCGTGAATTTGGGTCCTCTGAGAGGCAGAATTAAAACAAACAAACAAAAAATATCCCAAGCCATAGTAGCTTGGCATTGAGTGCCTGTATTGTAGACTGCAGTGAAGCAATCCTCCTAGGAGATTACCATCTGTTTACCGAGCACCAGGGCTTTGCAGAAACCTGCCTCAGCTAGATGAGTTGTTTTCCTTTGAGAAAACTTTCTGCCTTCTCATGGATCTTAAGAGATGAAAGCGACACTTTCTTGGCTAAGCATGCAACCCCTCGCAATAAAAACCACAGAGGAGGGAGGTGGGTGGGGGGTCTCCCTTGCCCACCGCATTGCTATGGAGCTGAATTTCCAGCTCTCTTCAGCAGTTGGAGAAGAATTTGAGCTGCCGCCTTAATCAGCGTCACCGCCCATGGCTGTTTGTCCACTATGGGAGCCAAGGCCTGCTCTGTCCGGCACCATGCCTCCATGGCCCTGCCTTTGCTGCTCAGGCGGGGCAGGGTCCTCGAGGGCAGAGCTGCCCGTCCTCCCAGGGACCCATGGGGTGACAGGCACAGCAAAGGAGATGCACGGGCTGCCTGATGCCGCTGACCACGGATGCGGCCCGGCTTCACCTAGCAATGATGCTAACCCTTGTTATAACAGATAGCACTGAAGGAATAGCTAATTGGGTAATTAGCCTGATATCCAGAGCCTGGCAATGGTTACCTGAAGGCCTTCATAAGTCTCCTGAGAGACTGGTTAGTGTCTGCTTCCCCACCACCATCCTCATCCCCATGCTGCACTGTGGTCCTCAGCAGCTCACCTTACCTTCTCAATTAGGGTCACAAACTGGTTGTTGAGCAACTTGATGTCCTCTTTCTCCTGCTGCCGCATGGCTTGGAAGTCGGGGTCGATATCAAGGCGCACAGGGGCCAGGAGTCTCCCGTCAATGGAGAAGGAGGGGTAAGAGGAGCATCGATATTCACTGTCTCCGTGGAGGCTGAGAGAGCTATAGCCATTGCTGGCCACCCCGCTGGGACTGCAGCGGCCCAGGCGATCCGGGGATGTGCTGGCGGCTTTTCCTCTGCTCATCTTCCCTGACACCTCCCAAGAGGAGAGGGAGCCACTGGTGAAGGCTTTGCAAGGGTTAGTCATGCTCGGCTTGTGGCTCTGCAGCTCGAGGGGAGGGGAAGGGAGGGAAAGGAGGAGGAAAAAAAAGAGATGAAGTTTTCTTGCTGCTGCTGCTGCCTCAAAGGGAAGGAGAATAGTGGCACGCTGAGGAGTTTGGTCGGCTTAATTCCTGTCTCCTCAGCTCGTGGGTTGGCTAATGAATTACAAGCACCTGTTCTCCTATGTTCATTAAACGGAGGAGGGTGTAACCGTTGATGTAATCCAGATCAACCTGTTGGCTTTTTTTTTTTTCCCCTCCTCTCTGTACCCTCCTTTCTTCAGGAGCTTGTTTGTGTGGTGAGGGCATAGGCACTCGCAGCAAAAACAAATCACTCACAGGTAATTCGCTGGGCCCCAAGTGGCTGCTTTCCTCATCCTTAAATGGTGAAGAAAGCAATCAAAGGTGCTGGGCTGCAGCAGGCTTGGGGAGGATGGCTCTGAGCACGGCTGCTGCACGAGTACTTGGCACATGGAGCTTGGGTTCAGCCCCTGGCTGGTTTCCAGACAAAATCTGCAGGAAAGAATTGTGATTTTTTTTTTTTTTTTTTTTTTTTTTTCCTGGGGGAGTGTTTAAAATTATAAAGAAAGAGTCTGAATTGGCTAAGGGTAGGAGTTTGGAAACGCATCTCAAGCTCATCGTGATTAGAGGTGCTCATGGTGTTCCTTTGACCACACAGGCACGTCACAGAAGCTTCTGGTGCTCTGAGTGTTTATGGGATGATAGGTCTGGTTTTGAGACCCCTGAGTGGGGGACCAAGAGGCCTGAGGTCATCTGGTCTGGCAACAATGGAGACCTTCAAAGCCTCTAGACACCAAGTTGGATCTCAAAAGTGCCCAAGGCCACCTTTGACCACCACACTCCCGCTCCTTGAAAGCCCTTTAAAAGCTGGCACTGGAGACACCAAAAACCACTGGTTTTTAATGAATTCTAGGCTGCTAAGGTGACACACCCTTAAATACCTGTTTGGGCCTAGGTATAAATCAATGTTGGATGACTTTCTTGAAAGCATTTTCCTGCTTTAACTCAGTTTCTCATGTGAAGAATTGAGACAGAAGAGCACCCATTTCTGCCTCTTTATTGTATTGTAGTGTTCTCAGGAAAGGGGATGGTCTTCTCTGGGCAAAATTCAAGAATTTCCATTTTGTGGGACAGCTGCCGTTTTACAGTCTGGTTCTGCCCCACGTTGGAAGACAAGCTGCGAATTTCCCTGCCAAGTGAAGTGAAAGAAAGCTTGGATCTGTCACAGACCTGCTTCAACAAGAAACATATCTGATGATGTAGTGGTTTCTGTCTTAAGAAGGACTTCAGAAGGAAGATGACCCATTCCAGTAGGGTTAACCTTTTCTTCAAGCATAGTTTCAATATTTTGCTAAGAACAGTGTGCTTTCAGATGGCATGCCCACCTTACCAAAACACCCTTTCCAGGGAAAATGTTTCCCCTGATGATCTGTTTGAATACCAAGTCCGTCACTCAGTGGATCCATGTCAGGACTTTTCAGTTTAATCCCGATAATTTATTTTAAGGATTAAAACAAAATTTATGGCTGGGAGATGACAAAGCTCATGACTTTTGCAAGGTGAGGTGAGATTATCTATCTCATTGTGGGCTGCTCGTTTGTGGCTTTGCGGTTGCAGGCACATCAGTGTTCTTGATTAGCATCAGGTCATGGGGTGACCTGGCAGGTTTTTTGCTTCATCTGGTACTGAGGGCAGTTGTGATGGCTCCCTAGGAATGATCCCTCTGAGGGAAGGACACAGAGGTGAAATTAGGCTAGTTCAATATAGTAGTGGCTGGGAGCAGTGTTCTGCACCGAGCTAGGCGGGGTATTGCATGACTGTGTTCTGCAGGATCCCAGGAAGCATGGCTGCAGAGGAAGCGCTGCTGGTCATCGCATTAGCAACCGCATCTGCCTAAGCATCAATCCCTGCTCCTTTCTAACACTGGTTCCAGCCTGTGAGGATATCCAGTTTGGCTGAAATGGCATCTCCTGGTGCAGAACGGCACAAAAAACTCTCCTGGTGATCAGGTCTAATTGTAACACGTTTGGTGCCTTTTGAGTCCCGGTTCCTGTATAGCATCATGTACTATATCCCACATCCTCTCTATTAGGTGCTGGAGTGGGGGGGCGAGTCATTCTGCCACAGAAAGATGCAGAAGGATGATGGCTTAGGATTAAAGCTGCCTTGAATGCTTGGCAAAGGCAGGGTGGAAAGCCATTTTCCAATGGGAGCATCGGGGCCACTCTACTGAGATGAGCAAGGCTTTTCAAAGTCCTGCCTCCTTCCAGAAGGATGGGTGTAATTTGCAATAACCCTCTAAGGAAAGTGTTTGCAAGTGGTCATCTCTGCTGGCAGGTGATGTGAGGATGTGTGGGAAGAGCTTGCAGAGAGAGGATTAACCTGCTTTCTAACCTCTTTTCTGGGTGCCCAGGCTGAAGCTCCTGTTGTCCCACCTGCTAGGCAGAGGGGCGAGGTGGGGATCCAAGCTTGCCCCGTTAAGGGGAGACACTGCTGCTCATGATGCTGGGTCCTAGGGCGACCCTAATTTAAGTCTAGCCAGGACATTGCTCCATGGCAATGCCCAACAGCCTGACACTGAAATGATACTGCTTGTTGGTATTGTAGGTGCACTTAGCAGTGCAGAAACCTGTCACCCCATGCTGTCTTTTCGAGGATGGAGAAGGGAGGGCCGCTTCACACAGTGGCAGCCGAAGCTTTGCCGCATGTTTCTCTCCCTTGCTGTCTTCCCTGCCCTGTGGGAGAGGCAGTGCTGAGTCAGGGTGTTTCTTCCCTTCCTGCCGATGTTCTCGGTGCTCCTCCTTGGCCAGGTATTTGGTTCAATTTGGAATGGGCTGGTCTCCCAAACTGGGCTTTAGGATTTGGCGCCAGCCTTCTTGGCTACGCAGTAAACCAAGCTAAAAAAGGATGGGGACAAGAGGAAGGTGGTAACAAGGTGGAGAAGGCTATGGAGGGTGCGATGAAGGGTCTGGTCACCTCCAGCTAAATTGCTGTGTCCTCCTACTGCCATAGTGTTGCTGCCTGTGTCCTTGCAGCCTGGTCTAGCTTGTCTCCTGATCCATTTGGATGGAGTTGTCACCATCCAAAGATTGAGTGGTCCCAGGATCTCACATTCGGGATATGTCTGGAGCAAGGCAACGTGTCGCTTTGAGTTTGCAGTGTGGTTGTTTGGTAGGTTGAGGTTTGGGGATGGGCACAGGGTGGCTTGGGGGTGCTTAAACGTTTGCAGACAAACCTAGAGAGTCTTGTCACCCTTCCATTGATACATGGAGATTTATCCCGGCCATCTGGAAAATCAATTTTTAGGGTTATTGGCTCAATATGTGTATGCATAGTAGAATTATTTATCAAGGTTCCATAAGTAATTGCTGTTTATTAAGTATGGGTAATGTATGAAGCATAAACAACGAATCAGCATGTGCCCCAAGGAATCCGAATGATTAAGGTTAAGCAAGACAGAGACGGGGCTGAGGGATGCAGAGTGCCGCAGAGGTAATGAGTGGGTCAGCAGGACTTATTTAAGCCTCGTCAGGCATGCGAGGAGCATCTGGAGTGGGAACCGTGCGCGTTAAGCCAAATGACGCATTGCAGGGGCATGGCTGCTACTGTGGCCACAGGTAGGACAAGGCACAGCAGCTGCGCGTTCCTGGTTCCAGGGAGGCAGGTTCAGTCCACCGAGTTCACTTCCGGTCTGAAAAAAAAAAAAAGGAAGTTAAATGTTTGTTTTGATTTTGTTAAATTTGGCTGCTGGCCCTCATTCTGTGACAGGAGAGGCATTTACCTGCTCTGTGGCGTAGGCTGGAGACAGGCTGATTACATGGGGTCACAGGCCAGCAGTGCTGCCCAGAGCTGGGTTTGTGGTGAGGGGCTTCGATTGCAGAGGCGCCTTAGTTCGGCTCCGCTTCTCCGCCCATCTCTGCAGCGCCCGATGGAGGAGGGAAGGCGCTGGGCTGGGCTGGAGGCATGCCCGGACCAGCGCTGCGGTAGGACGGCCGGGGACATGCCAGTGACCACAGGGCTGCATGCTAATTTGGGCATGCCTGTGGTTTGCCAGTGCTCTCCTTGTCTGACCCTTCCCAACCCGGGGGGTGGCGGGTGGGCGCTGAGGGAAGCGCTGAGGCCACCCTGCCCGTGCTGGCATCCGGGCATGGTGGCTGGGGACAGGAGAATTTCACCCCAGACTGTGGGTCTTTGTGGGCCCTGGTTTGGGGGATGGTTGGGGGTAGCTCAGCAGCCTTCCCTAGCTCCACTCCATCCCTGCTCTTTCCTTCTCTCTCATTCCTTCTTTCCATGCTCATCCACCCTTCTAGCGTCACGTTTCCATTCTCTCCCCCCCTTTCATTCCTTTATGTGCCTGCCCAGAGCCATCCAGATCGCCTTCCCTCCTTCCTCATTTTTGATTTCTGGGTGAAACAGCGAGTAGCTAAAATTCTGCCGTCTAAATCACTTCCCCCAAAGTAGACGTCACTTGCAAAGAATTTATAGAAGAGTTTGGAAGGCAGGACGGGACGTGCCCACATCTGCTTCACACTCAGGAAGGTTTCCAATCCGTCTGCTGCGCTTTTGCTCACGTAGTTTCCAGGAAATTTCAGGTATTGAAAAAAAATAAGTAGGACTAATTAAGTGGTGGTGACATCACTTGTTTCTGCTGGGGCGCTGCAGGCTCTTCCCTTCCGCTGTACAAGGAGGCTGGGTGATGCCGTCCGTGCCTGGGGCTGGGGAAGGAGCTGCTGGGCGCTAGATCTCCCCCAGGCAGCTGCATCGGATCATCTCCCAACTAAAGGGACTCTGCTTCCTCTTAGAAACCGCTGCTTTATTTTCTCAGTTGAAGGCTGTCCCAAAGCCTATGAATCTCCGTGTGTCCTCGGCTGTCCATCATCCCCACTCGTCCTTGTGTCAGCCGCTCCGAGCCCACTCTTTTGAGCTATGCTGGGAGCCTGAAGGTTGCCAGTTCCCTTTCTCACAG